CATCGACAACCCTTACCACGCAGTCACCAACCCCACGGTGAGTCGGTCTGCCACACGAAATACCGACTAAAGCTAGTGTTGCTGCTCCGTGTAACACTAAGGTTAGTGAAAATCAAATTTCTGATTAACGACCAAATTGAGGGTGCAGAACCAAAATGTACACTACAACCAATCGTCATTGGTCATAGGTATTGAGAGTAAGATTATATAAATTAAATTATCATTTTGAATCTAAGCATTACATTAAAGTCCAATTTCCCAATAGAATAAGCAAATTAATTTAAAAGAGAAAAAAAATGAAATTTAAACGACATCCACACTTACTAAGGAATAGAGAAACAGGTTTTAAGCACGATATAACTTAAGACACTAAAACGTTCGAGGCAGAAAAGTTTGCAGAACTGTCTACGAATGACGATAGTTGACGACGCGTTTAAGAGATTTATGATCGAATTTCATTTTAACCAGAAATTGGGTAAAGAATTTGAATTCGGTTTTCACTTGCAGCGAATGTTTGAACCACGCGACACTGACTCTTGATGACTCTTGAGGCCTGCTACAGAATCGCTGACTTTGAATACCTACTTATTCTAAAAATGAAATCAGAAAAATGGAATAAATGAAGGCAACCTAGAATCTATATGTACAAATTTACGGGGAGAAATGAGGAATTTCTCACACATCATCAATTATTGTCCTACAGTTTTGAAACTCATGTCTCATCAATTGATATCCTAAAGTTTTGGCAATCATGTCTCATCATCAATTATCATCCTAAAGTTTTGGCTTTGACCTGTAATGGATAATGAGTACTGATCGAGTGAATTTTAAAAGTTACGCTCCACTCAATAAGCTTGAACCCTCTCCAAGTGAGCCATGAGTCCGTAGTTGATCTTTGAAAAAAGTGATCGACAAATAACCCAGCTGTAGGAAATTTCTCGGCACAAAATCTAGAGGGCGGTTAAAAGGGATCGCCCCTGCAAACGAGGTGGCAGCCGGGGTTAGTGTTCACTCGAGTATTCCATCGAAATTTGCGCTGGGTGCTCCGTGGTTCCATCTAGAATAGATGAAACCACACTTTCCCAACGTCCGTATCATCCCTATGCTCTGGGAATAATTTTTGCCGTCTCCCTGTAATGAATAGCATCACCATTAGTAAACTCGTTTTTCTAAACAAAATAAGCTCAATACGCAACGATCAAATTGGACACCAAACGTAAACACGCTCATAGATAAGACGGCTTTTGTGAAGGTGGCGGGGAACTTAATCACTCCAGGAAGCGTTTCCAGCGGAGCTTCAAACGCAGTTTGATGCGTCACGCAATCTTGTAGTCAACTTCCCCAGAGCAACAGTCAATGGTTACAGCTCAGAGTACCATGATTAGAGCAGAGAGGTGCGGGTTCGATCCCAGCTCCGTTCACCAGTTTCTGGTCTGAATCGGCAAGGTGGCCGGGCGGTTAAGCACAACAGAATTCTAGCAGTAACATTAAAATTTAAAGTAAGTTGCTCTGACGCTCCCTGTAAACTACAGTGTGCACCATTAGGTAGGCACCCTGTACCCGTTTGAGAAATAAAACAACATTAAATTTTAAAATTACATTTTTAATTCATAATGACAACATGCACTTAAACTACACTTAATGATACGAAAATAAAATTAAAATATTCAGATAAATTATATACAAGGATAATTCCTGTTTTTCGATTTTGTGGAGCAAAAAAAAAACGAATCTGATAAACGGTTTGTACCAACAAAGGAATATAAACGAATAGAACGAATCATAAATATGTTTTTCTGATTTCTTACCAGGGAATGGTGAACCTCGGAGCATCCGTGAACAGCATGATGAAGAAGGAACTCGAGCAGCGTCTGAACGCGCCCGATGTACTTGTGTTCAAGCCTGCACAGCACCAGCACTACTACGACTTCACAGGCTCGGCACCTCTGCGTCACGCCCTGAGTGCCTTCCTCTCCAGGCATTTCGCTCAGGGCAGGCCTGTGCCACCTAACCAGGTGCTGCATGCGTAGAAGCACTTGCCTATTGCCCTCTTTGGGCTCTGGTTCATGTTGTTATGAGGACGTACATGCAGTATTTGCGTTCAAATGAAGGTTATTATGCCTTTTTCATCGAGTGTTTTTTCCCAATTGTTGGTGCTGATGAAATGTTCCTCCCCAGCTAGTCGTGATGAATGGGGTGACGTCATGCCTTAACTGCCTCGGCTTCGCGTGTTGTGACGCTGGAGACGTGGGCCTCACCACTACGCCCGTCTACGGCAAGATCTTCACCGACTTCCAAGAACGGGACAATCTCGACATGCGCGCCCTGCATCTGCTGCCAAAGGTGCATAATAGCAGGAGAAAGAGGGGTTCAACAGGCCAAAATTTAAAGGAAAATAACACGATTCTTTTTCCTTTTAAAATACGAGTTGCTAAACAAATCTAAGCATCATACCCTGGGCTGCATTGTTATGTACCTAAGCACTGATTAGAACTTTTCAATAGGCTAGAAATAATAAAAATACCTGAAAAAATTGCGGAAACAGGCAACTTTGAAAACTACTGTGGAAACAGGCAACACGTCTCTCTGCCGCGTCAATCAATGCACTAACTTGCGTGCTATTACAACCTTATACTAGCTGAGGTTCAATATTATTTTTTAATATATAAAATAATTACCGTGTCTAACTATGCCCCATTTCGCAATTTATCCCACATTCCCCTACTCGTAGTTGGCAAGATAGTTCGCGTAGATTGATGGCGATGGCTAAGGAAATTGGATTATCGAATAAGTTAGTAATTACGATTTCGTGTTTACTTTCTTGTATCTGCAGGATGTTGCGGGAACGACTGAGGACTTTACGGTGACCGCAGCACTGCTGGAAAGCCGGCTGCAGGAACTGCAACTGGAAGGGAAGAGAGTGAGGCTTATAGTGCTTATCAACCCTCACAATCCCCTGGGAAACGTGTGTCCCTCCCATCTATTTCTCGACCTGCTCAAGGTGTGCGCAAGGTAAGAAATATGTATTCGAAAATGTGTGCTAAATCATCTAAAATCCAAAGCCTAAAACTCACGGTGTTTACATAGTTCTACGGTATTTGTACATCAGCGCATGAAAGCTCACAAGGGACGCCGGGTTTACAAAGTTTAAATTATTTCTGAGCATACATAAACAGGAAATATTGGAGCAGAAAATGAAACACCGAAATCTTTTGTCGCCTCATTCCCTGTTCCAACCCTTTTTCTCGAACAAAAACTCTCATTATCAGGTGGTAGGACATGAATAGCATTGCAGATTAACGTATCCCTTAACAAAGGGTTCAGCGTCAGGCCAATCGTCTCAAGCCTTTACTCTGTCTCTTATGCGATTCCTTCAGTAAGTTTGTACTAACCAGCGCAAAAAGTCAATATGGCACTACAGGACTTTTCACGAATGAATTTGTTAATTGGCAAAAGATTAAGTACATTAACTTGGTAAACCATTAATTCCTTGACAATTTTATTTTCTCATTGTTACAGTTTCTCTGTCATAAAATGGATGTTAACAATACAGTTATTCGATTTATTCAAGACTGTTCAATGTTTATAATTGCAAAGAAGCACCCTTCAACTTGGATGCAATGAATT